TATTTCTTATCGTTTTTATGTCTACTGAGGTATAACTTTGTGTTAAATAAATAACACTAATATTCTTTGATCTTGATCTTATAAAATATTCTTTTACCAATTTTTGATCTTCTAAAAGATAATCATCAATAAGTATTAAACTATTAGGTTCACAATCATCCACAGGTATTATATCACTGTTAGAAAAATGAGTGTTTATAGCAGGTATGCCATCAAATATGTTTTTTAATTCTGGTGACAAATTTAATTACATCTAATTCGGGTGGCTGTGCGTCGTACGTCCGCCCGTTGGTTATATAAGCGGCCTTATCGGCGCAATTAAATTACAGACCGCAGGTCGTTATCTACACCGGCGTCGACTATGCCGACGCAACCAAAGTCCACGTCCACTACAAAAAACAACAGCTCATTACGCACACCCGTCCAGAACAATAATATATCACGGCCGTCAACTTTGAACGTAAATAAATCCAATAATAAACTACCAGATAAAACAGCTCTATGGCAGACCAAACAAGGCAAGCGTCTATCTTCGCCTGGCCATTCGCCTACATCCAAAGAGCTAAAAATTTCAAACGAAACTAAATCTGCCTTTACCACGCCAAACCGCTTTGAGCCACTAAATGACACGGAAATTGATGACAACAACGAAATGAACCACGAGCCTTCAAACGATACACCTCCTCCTCCACCACCAATATTCATATCTTCACCACTGGAATTCAATGAGTTCGCAAAATCAATCGCTCTACTTGTTGGCGAAAATGAATTCGAATTCAAATCTACTACGAAACATTTAAAACTTACACTTACCTCAATCAGCTCCTTTCGTCAAATAATCCACTTACTAAATGAAAGTAAAATTGAATACTTTACCTACCAAGCAAAAGAAGACAAACCATACCGTGTCGCTATCAGAAACCTTCATCCAACAACCGATACAAACTTCATCAAAGATGAACTGTCTCAACTCGGATTTTCGGTAAGAAACATCACAAACATTAAGTCCAAAATAACCAAGACAGCCCTCCCCATATTTTTTGTTGATTTGAACCCAGACCCTAGTAATGTAAATATATTTAACCTGTCTTCACTATGCTACACCAAAATAAAAATCGAGGAGCCCCACACTCGCAGGGACCTACCTCAATGCCACAGGTGCCAGGCCTATGGTCACACCAAGACCTACTGTAATCGAGAGCCTAGGTGCGTCCGCTGCGGTGCTTGCCACCTCTCGGACCTTTGTGAAAAACCCAAAGACACTCCAGCAACTTGCGCACTATGTGGGGAAGCTCATCCTGCTAACTACAAAGGATGTACCAAGCACAAACTGCTACAAAGATCAAGAAATTCCAAATTCAATGACCTCAAAGGAAGGACCACCATCACTCAAGAAATCCCACACAAGATAGAAGCTCTCCTGACGCCAATTCCCATACTTCTTTAGACAATGTAAACCAGACCCCAACCAGTCCTACCATCCGACAGTTCTCGTACGCCGACTCAGTCAAAGGTAACTCAAAAAAAAACAATCACTTCTCAGACCTCAATCCGCCTCCCGAAACGTCCATCTCCAAACATTTATCATCATTTATCAATGAGCTCCAGTCACTCATAACCCCTCTTTTAACTCTCCTTACCTCACTCATTAATAAACTTATCACTAATAATGATACCCAATACTAGCCCTTGTCCCGTCCTGTCAATACTATCATGGAATGCAAACGGACTGCATAATCATAAAAACGAATTTCAATTAACACTCGAGGAAAAAAATATAGACGTCGCGTTAATTTCCGAGACCCATTTCACTCCAAAATCTTTTGTAATAATACCTGGATACCAAGTTTACCACGCTTGCCACCCTGACGGTACAGCTCATGCTGGATCCGCCATTTTTATAAAAAAAAACTTATCCCATCACCCACTAACCCCCTACTCTGAAAACTATCTTCAAGCCACTAATATATCAATCAACCTCGAAAACCATAACTCAATTACTATATCTTCCATATACTGTCCCCCAGGTGCAAAAATAACTACTGAAAATTTTGAAAACTACTTTTCCAGCCTAGGGCAACAATTTATAGCAGGAGGTGACCTCAACTCTAAACACCCCACCTGGGGAAATAGATCAGCTTGTACAAGAGGTCGTACACTCAATTATGTCTTAACCTCAAAAAATTACTCAGTACTATCCCCCCCTGGTCCTACATACTGGCCTTCTCATGACTCATAGTAATAGACTACCCGATATCCTCGACATATTCATCGCAAAAATCCCAAACCACCTAAATACAAATGTAACAAACCTAGACGATCTCTCATCTGATCACACCCCGATTTTTATGGAGGTCGGCGCCATGCCTATTAAATTAACTAGATCATCTCTCACCCCTGGCAGATCCGATTGGACTAAATTTAGAAACATAGTCACTGACAAAATTAGCCTTAAACTCTCCTTAAAAACTACTCTTGAAATAAACCAAGCCGTTCAATTTTTAACCACCACAATCCAAGATGCTGCCATGGCCTCCTCAGAATACAACCTCCATCCCAAAAAAAACTCGAAAATTCCTCCTCACATCCAAAGTTTAATAGCCGAAAAGCGTAGAGCTAGAGCTCAATGACAACGATTCAAATACCCCATAGACAAAGCCAGACTTAATTACTTAAAAAACAAGCTAACCAGAGCTTTCCAAAATCACAAAAATGAAAGTTATCATTCCTACATTCAAAACCTCTCAACCAAAGATTCGTCACTGTGGAAGGCTACAAAAAAATTACTAAATCACAAGCAGCCACCTCCCCCAATTCGCAATTACGACAATACTTGGGCCACCTCAGACACTGAAAAAGCAAACGTTTTCGCATCCCACCTCGCTAATGTTTTCAAGCCACATGACATTTGTCCAAACCAAAGTCAACTCACAAGTATTGAGCAATCACTAAATTCCCCCCTTCCTATGGCTCTCCCTGCTAAGCACACTAGCCCAGGCGAAGTTATGCACATTATAAAAAAACTTCCAACTAGAAAAGCCCCAGGCCACGACTTGATCAGTAACTTCATAGTCAAAAATCTCCCTAATAAAGCTGTCCTCTTTCTCACCCTCATATTCAACTCATTACTTCGCCTATCTTACTTCCCTAGTATCTGGAAACATTCAAATATAATTCTTATCTCTAAGCCCGACAAGCCACCGCAACTTCCCACCTCTTATAGACCAATAAGCCTCCTTCCCACTTTCTCAAAAATGTTTGAAAAAATACTTCTGAAAAGACTTCTCCCACTGTCAGACAAAGCTAACGTCATTCCACATCACCAATTTGGGTTCAGGGCTAAACACTCAACCACCCACCAACTCCTTCGTACTGTCGACTTAATATCTTCTAGTATGGAATCCAAGCTCTACTGTGCTGCCGTCCTGCTAGACGTGGCCCAAGCCTTTGACCGAGTGTGGCATGATGGCCTACTCTATAAACTTAAAAAATTTCTCACTGCTCCATATTACCTTATTATCAAGTCTTATCTTGAAAATCGAAACTTCTCAGTTAGAGTGAACAACAGCTACTCGGTTAACTTTCCTATTTTGGCTGGCGTCCCCCAAGGTAGCGACATAGCGCCTTTCCTTTACACCATATTTACACATGACATTCCGAAAACTTTGCTTACATCATTAGGCACATACGCCGACGATACAATAATCCTGGCCTCAAATGACAACCCTCAAACCGTGCCTGTTAGGTTACAAAATAATCTAAACATGATCCAGATCTGGTCAAAAAACTGGAAAATAAAAATAAATGACTCCAAATCCTCCTTTATTACTTTTTCACTGAGACCTAGAGACTGCCCTCCACTTTCATTCAATAATAACTTAATTCCAACAACCCCTGTAGTCAAATACCTGGGCCTAACGTTTGATAAGCGACTCACCTGGGCTCAACACCTCAAAAACAAAAGGAAATCTGTAAACTCTAGACTTCACTTGCTCCGTCCACTTCTCCGCTCCAAACTAAACATCAGCAATAAATTGTTAATCTA